CACCGGTAATGAATATGCCACTGTAATCGTAAACACTTCTTCTTACATTAATAAACTCTTAAGACTCATTATTAATTCAGACTATAGACCAACTTTTAATAATACAATACACTATCTAGAAAAAACAACAGAACTCTTTATCAATAAAACCTCTCTTCCTATACGGTCTACCTAAAATTCACAAACTTAATATTCATATTTGTTCAATTGTCAGTAAATACAACTGCCCTGCAGAACCACTGGCCAGGTACTTAATCAAAACTCTACCACTTCTCGGCGAAAATGCTTCGTCTGTAGACAAAAATTATTTTTATTTTATGGAACTTCTTATAACAATTCCTCGAACGACCGTCACCGTCAGACATTCTAGTAAGTTTCGATATCATTTAACTATTTACAAACATTTCTATAGACGAAACTCTAAACATTCTGAAAACTAAATACAGTATCCAGCAAAACCACTTATCTCTTAACAGTTTGACTGCGTTGCCGGTCCCCTGGGACGTGTGTTATTAAAGTGTTCTTCGTATCGTCGTTAATATTCGTTTGTTCTAAATGCTAAAAACAGCATTATACTGACTTGTCTTAAGATTCTAAAAATTTCTAAAAAAAAAGATGTACCGGGCTTTGGGGGCCGCTAACGCACAGAGATTACAATTTGTTACTCGGGTGTGAGACCAGTCCTGCGGGACCGGTGCATATTTATATATCTGCATGCTTGCGCAATCAATCGACATTTAGTATCGTTTGTATTTCAATAGCAAGTGTGTTTACGTCCGTGTTTTGCGTGGTTTTCATCATCATCAATTAGCCTATATTTGTCCACTGCTGAACGTAGGCCTCCCGTAAAATTTTACACCTATTTCTGTCTTGAGCTTCTTGCATCCAGTTTGTGGTAATGCGGTTGATATCATCTGTCCATCTAGTCGATGGTTATCCTCTGCTTCGATAAACATCTTGCCTTGGTCGCCATTCCAGAATCTTTTTGGTCTATCTGTTATCCGTTAATCTGGTAACATGTCCGGCCTAAGCACTTTTAGACCTGGCTATTTTTTCAACTGCATCTGTGACTCCTGTTCTTCTTCCTATTTCTAGGTTTGGTACTTTATCTCTGATGGTAATACCTAATATTGATCTTTCCATAACGCGTTGTGTAACTCTTATTTTATATATTGTTCTTTTTATCATAGTTAGTGTTTCTGCACCATATGTAAGAACCAGTAAAACGCACTGGTTAAAAACCTTTCTTTTTAAACTAGACTTGATATACTAGACTAGGGATACTAGACTTAAAAATGTTAGTCAATCTACCAAACGCAGCCCATGTGAGATCTATCTTTCTTTGTATTTCAGTTGTCTGATTATCTCGGCCTAGGCGAATCTCATGCCCTAGATATTTGTAAGCTATTACTTGGTCGATGCTATGGCTCTCAATCAGAATTTTACCGCTGACTACAAGGTTGGGCATAAATTTTTAATTTGGAGGTGTTAATTTTAAGACCAATTGACACATTTTTGACATTTTATAAAGCGTGTACTGCGTGGTCTTACTAGTCTAAAAATGTCATCTCGCGTTAAAAATATTTTGTTTTTAGCTCAAACAGCTGATACAAACAAAACAAAAACTGTAGAGTGTAACGAACCGAGTACTTCAGTTGAAAATAAAAAATATGACGGAGATAACCCAAGTATTGTAAATTCGCGCCAAAGTCCAACTGATTTAAGAGACCATGTGCTTGCAGAGTTGCCAAATAGTGACAGTGAAAATGAACGGACGATCCTTTTGATTCGGACGATTCTGTAATCGACAAAAACTATGTTCTTTCTTCAGATGAATCGTACAGTGATGTAAGTGAGAGTGATTTATTCGACGATGATAATAAGACAGAAATTGATAACGAAAAAATGTCAGAATCTGAAAATGATGATGAAAACGAGTGGCATGATATAGGTGAGAGTGACAATGAAACTGGTGAGTTGAATCAATATCAAGATATGCCTATATTAAATTTTAACGTTAACGAAATAAAAAATCCTATAGACGCTTACAAGTTATTTGTAACCGATGATCTTTTACAGAATATTGTCACTGAAACAAATAGATTTGCTCGGGAAATGTTGTTAAATATACATCGATCAAAATCACGTATACGTTACTGGGTTGACTGCGATATAGCCGAACTGAAACGTTTTTTTTCAATATGTATAGTTATGGGATTAGTTAATGATACTGCAATAAATTTATATTGGTCGAAAGATCCCATGTTCAGGAATGAGTTTATTACGACTACCATGAGACGAGACAGGTTCCTTTTACTGATGCGTTGCATTCATTTTTGTAATAATCAGCAGTGTAATAAAGATGATCGGCTCTATAAGTTAGGGAAGTTTTAAAAGTACTGAATAAAATTTTCAAGCTGCATTAACTCCAGGACGGATTTTGGTAGTCGATGAAAGTATAGTACCTTATCAAGGAAGACTGCAAATAAAGCAATATCTGCCAAATAAAACACACCCGTATGGAATTAAATTATATAAGTTATGTACAGTGGATGGTTATACTAACAACATAATCGTTTATCGTGGTAAAAATACGACTACCAATACAAATACTGCTCAGAGTGAGCAGATAGTGTATGATCTTCTTGAACATGTTGAATTCGAAAATGGCTACTATCGCTACTTGTATGCTGATAATTATTACTCGAGTTTACCTTTAGCCAAATCATTATTCAAAAACAAATAATTTATTGTGGAATTCTGAGGTCCAACTGAAGAGGTATTCCCAAAACGGTACCTAAAAGAATGAAAAAGGGAGAAATTTGGGGTACACAGAACAACTCCTTACGAATTATAAAATGGATGGATAAACGGCCAGTTCTGATGTTAAGCACTGATCCAACCCATACAACTACTTCAGAACCAACAGGAAAGCTAAATTGCCAACGTGAGTTTGTATTGAAACCAAAGGCAATTATTGATTACAATCAAGCAAAAAAAGGAGTAGACTTTAGTGATCAGATGAGTTCTTATCATTCCGTTTTAAGAAAAAGTTTAAAATGGTACGGTAAACTAGCCTTTGAATTTTTGCTTGAAACATCTATTGTAAATGCCTGGATTATTTAGAACAAGATTAGTTGTTCCACAAAATTATCTATAATGGAATTTAGAAGAAGATTGGCGCAGAAGTTACTTGTTACTACAGCTGCACACGAAAACACCACTACTCCCAAAAGAGTTCCACATACTTTTGTTAAACCGTCAGGATCTGGAAAGGAAAGAGAAGACAATGCCAAGGATGCTATCATAAATTAAGAGAAACACATTTAAGCAAACACTCAAGTAATATGGTGACAGAAGTAACAAGTTACTGCAATGAATGTCCTGGACAACCAGGAATGTGTTTATCTTGCTTTAGTAGCATTCATAAAAAATAATCTATTTTTCTGAAACTTGATTGTTTTTTTTTAATAACTACGAAAAAATCTTTTATTTTCCTTAAAACTTTATGTTTTTTTTTGTTTAATAACTAAGGACATAAATATTATTTAGTTTACATGTTTTTTTTTTTTCAAATACTGTTTACACTAATAAAATATTAAGAAGTTTTTATATTTTAATATAAATCTGTAAAAAATAGTAAGCTGTCTTGATACTTTAAAATATGCTTAACAGGAAACGAATGGCAATGGTAACTTTTAAAATATTTTTACTGTCAATAACTGATCTTAAAACTCGTATAATTTATATTATAAAACTGTAAAAATGTAAAAACTAATTGCGTCACTACCGGTCCCCGACGGTCGGTAACGCACCGTGTTCGCGTCAAGCCACCGGTCAAGCCACCGGTAACGCACTGTTCTTTGGATGACAGATTTTGGGAACACAGTCAACCTATTAATAAATGTTGTAATTCCAATACTTATTTCATCTTGCAAAATAAATTCTACAGACAAATAAAGGTTCTGAAAACTGATTTATACATTTATACCGTTTTTTGAGGTGATTATAAAAAAAACCAATCCTAATGTTTTCATCACTGCGTTTATTGAAAACCTACCCGTACCAATTATTGTTACTTACACGCCAACTTTCATCATCTACCTTCACAAAGTAATTCAGCCTTGAATACCCTTGTCGCCAAATCAATACGCCTTTGCAATGATACAAGTAGACCCGCTAAGCTCTTTAGTTTAAAACAAGCCCTTATCCAAAACGGTTACCGCAAAAATCACAACAATAGGAGAATCCATACACATCAATCTTACTCTAAATCTCAACCCTAAGACTCAGATCATCAACATACAAAAGCTTTTCTGCGTTGTATCAAAGATGTCACTAACAAAATCAAGCAAATTCTGAAATTAATAAAGACAATATTTACCCTCCAATCAAATCTTTCATCTCTTGTCCAATCAATCAAAAAAAAAATATTGCAAATGAACATCGCCGAGTTAATGAAATTCTTGTGCAGACTTCGGCCGACATTATATAGGCCAAACAAGTCGTAAAATCCAAAATAGGATTTATGAGTCAACGAACCTTAAAATACAAAAAAACAGCTAAGATATATGACAAACTATAAAAGAAATATCGTGCAAAGTTGACAATATAATATAAGATATCAGAAAATACAGGTAAACAAAAAGCCAACGAAATGGAATTCAAACTATTTGAAGAGAAATGTGGTTGCTCAAAAAACTAGGAAAAATTTAAAGAACGAATATAGCTCATCCGTCATTCCTGGTTTTAATGTCTTAGCTAATTAATTGTTTCTCTCCAAAGTTGCACTTCTTTTTTAGTGTTCCAACGAATATTAGTATTTTAGTGACTCTCATGGATTTATTTATCTTTAAACTTATTTAAGTTTAGTTAAATTATATTAAGCAGGTAAATAATTAAAAGAAAATAAATACAACAATGTATTTCGCGTAAACCAGATTTAAAAATAAAACCAAAATGTTACTCAGTAAGTTTCCTGCAGTAATGAAAATACTCACCAGCTTCGGACTGAGATAAAATTAACACCCATATAAAAAATATACAAACAAACATTTTACCGGATACAATTTTAGGTTACATACAAGTTTGTTGGAAGCTTCGGTTTTTTATTTATAGTCATTTATATTTTATCTCTCTCAATGTTTTAGATAAAATTTAATAAACAAAAATAATAGTTTTATGAGAGATTTTTACCTGTCCGTTAGGGAAAAATAAACTTAATTGATATACATTTAATGTTTTATTGTTTTTAAAGCTTTTAATACCGGATATTTACAAAACACGAACAAAATATTTATTTGATAAAAATAAAATTGTTCTCTAAAACAGCAGATAGCAAAATAGACATGCGAAAATGGTTTCGTGAGATTAAAGTGTGCTTAACCCATTCATCCCAATATTAATTTTTTGTAAGAACGAAATTAAAATTTTAGAATTAAATAAAGAGAGGTTGCTTTTTATAGCAATGTGCAAAATTTACGCTTTCTTTCTTTGTAACTGTTTCTTTTTTGACGTATGATATATCACACGCTAGGCAATGAAGAACACAATATTTCATAAATATTATTTATTTTAAAATTTTAACGTGCCAAATTTGACAAAACATTGCTCGGGATGAACCCTACATTATATTTAATTCATGGATATTTGGTACACTCGCCACATTTGCCGCATCTTCGTTGCTTTTCAATTTTGTCCACCAAAAGAAGCACATTATCCAAACAAATTTCGTCAGAAACATGTTTCGAAGATTTTGGATGCACTCCACATGGCGTTCGAATATCTTGAGCTGTCAGCAAGGTCTCCACAATTCACCTGTAAAATTCTAATAAAGAAATTGCCTTAATGTTGCGGTAAAGGAGCAACATGTTGACTATTGTCTTATTTAAGAAAAATCTAAATGTCGCCCAAAAACATTTTATAGGTCGAATTCGAATCCTATATAAACCTCTTAACTTATCACATAAGTCTACACCAACCATTCCTTTGTTATACATTTGCACAACGTTTGGTTGACGGACCGCTATAATTTTTTGTCTCTCCTGGAACATCTGTTACAGTGTCCTATCGTAAATATTTCTGGAGTTGAAATATTAGTTGCCATAGAAACTTCATTATTGTCATTCCAGCGAATAAGAGTGAGCTGATGTTCTTCACTATGTAGAGCGTGGGAAGTTCCATAAATTTGTTTTTTTATTTATTTGAGTGTGGCTCTTTTAACCCTGTCTTTTTTCTCAAACTTGCCATTAAAGGTATATATATATATATATATATATATATATATATATATATATATATATATATATATATATATATATATATATTACAGGATCCAATTTGTAAATAGAATACATCTTGAAGACGGCTATCGCCGTATTCCTGTCCTCCTCCGCCAATCCTCTCGGTCCACGACATGCTCCTCCTCTAAACCTCTCGATTCCATTGCTCTTCTAATACATTCATTCCATGAGCGTCGAGGTCTACCTCTTTTTCTTCTACCAGGGGGCTTCCATCTGTGAAGTTTTTCGGGGCCAACGTTCGTCAGGCATTCTTAACAGGTGTCCAAACCATTTTAAACCTCTTCTTTCTATTCTGTCTATGACCGTATCTGTAGCATTCATCTGATTTCTTATAGATTCGTTGGTTTTCCTTTCCAGCCTTGATGTTCTAGCACTTCTTCTCAAATAATCCATTTCAGCTGCCAACAATCTTCTTTTCAGGTCTGCATTAATTGTCCATACTTCAGAGCCATAACAAAGAACTGATTCAACCATCGTTTGCTCTATTCTTTTTTTGTTCCTTTTGGAAATGTTGCGATCCCACCATAAGGAGTTCAAACATCCTACAATTTTACGTCCCTGATTAATTCGGTGTTTAATTTCGGTTTCACCCAAGCCGTTCTTATCAATTAATGCACCTAAATATTTAAATTTTTCCACTTGTGTGATTTCCACGTCCTCGTCTATCAACACTTCAAACCTTGCATCTGAATTGATAACTAGATATTCCGTTTTCTTCATGCTGACTTTTAACCCCCATTTTACATATTCTCTGTATAGACGCTTTATCATAAATTCTAGATCATAAGAATCTTGAGCTAGAACGACTTGGTCATCCGCAAAGTTCAGGGAGAACAGTACGTCATTTCCTATTGGGATTCCCATTCCTTGGCAGTGGTTTTTCCAATTTTGAAGGGCTGCCTCAATATATAAATTAAACAGTAAAGGTGACATACTGCATCCTTGTCTCAGTCCTTTAGTTACTTTTATCGGCTCTGATAGTCTATTTCCGATTTTTAGGTAAGTGGTGTTATCCCTGTATACTTCTGTGATTATTCCTAAAAGGTGTGGACTAATGCCGAGTTGTTGTAAAGCTTGCCACAATTTAGGCCTTGGTACTGTATCATACGCTTTTTCTAGATCGATGAAGGCTAGATGTACTTCGTTGCCAACCGCTATTCTTTTTTCTATTAATTGTTGGAGTATAAACAAGTTATCAGTGCAAGATCTACCAGGCGTAAATCCGCTTTTGTCTTCGCTAATTAGATGTCCTACATCATATTGTATTTTTCTACTTATTATCTTTCCAAACAATCTGCCGAAAGTAGGTAGGCCATTAAAGGTAAATATGTAAAAAAACTAGCAATATAGATAACAGATTCTTGTGGTAAAAACTCTGTACACAGCTTTTCGGTAACGGAACTTTCTAACGAGTTATCTTGTAATTTATCTCCACTTCCAGTATAGGAATGAAATTTTGCAAGGTCACCTTTATTGTTCGCAACGCACCAGAATATATATATATATATATATATATATATATATATATATATATATATATATATATATATAATATATATATATATCTGTAATGGTTGAGTTTTCCTCTTATAAACTGCTTCATTGAATGATGTCCATAATACGACAACATGACTTCGTTTACTGGCTGAAGTTTATGATAAAAGTGTTCATTCAGATGGTCAATTAGGGGTTGAACTTTTAAACAGTTTATTGGTTTGTTGGTACAACGTATTATCGTTAAGGTGTAAAAATCTATGAATCTGTCCAAATCTGTTTCGACTCAAAGTGTTAATAACTATATGTCAGTGAGATTCCCTTCGACATTAGATCATAGACATACATCCTCCTAGAAGACAATGGGTGATATTAAGAAAGAGAATAAGGATGCCGAAGTATTAATATAAATCATCAAGGGACAAAGACAAAGGGCAGGATTTTTGTAAAGCGTACTTTACCATTTTTTACAAAGATGATCCATGAATTTTTTATTAAGAAATAATTTAAATACATTGACTTGCTTAAAATTTTGTTGTTTTCAAATAAAAGCTTGAAAAGCAAAAGACAGAAAGCAAACGTACAAAAATTAAAAAGGAAGAAAAACCCTAATTAACGAAAAGTGTTACCAAAACAATTTGTGGATGAACAAAGATATTGAAAAATAATATGAAAAAATATCAATGCTAGCCCTACCAAAAACTATTTTGGGGGTAACACTATTGCATTAAATAGTATAAATATAATCTCTAATATCCAAGTAAAAACTGTGCTGGAAAGTACTAAGAGAAATCTGTTAAGTTGTGGGTACAGAATCTAAAATACGCGGGGAACCTGTTTATTGTACTGACAGACGATATTTTCAAAAGCAAAACCTGTAACACTAAAAAAAAATAAACCGTTGCTAATTGTCGAACCTACGCTGTCTTATTATTTTATCTGAAACACGGTTTACTCTTTTTGGTAATCAAATGGCGCGGTCACTAAATTTAAACTTTTGTGTATTATTTGTGCATGTTTAATTGTCCCCTAAAAATTAGCTGTGCGAATTACTGTATACCAAAATGTATCAGTCTCTATAGCACAAGCGACCATTACTATAGTTTTAGTTATTTGTTTGTTTACAAAAAAAGTTAACAAAAAGGTAAAACCAAAATATGATTTTTTACTAATTTGAGATACCTTAACATTTTTTAACTACGTTGTGTTTCTAAATTTTTCGTTAGTTTTGAGTATTATTTTTTTTAAGACTTTCTTAATCTATATTCTCTAATCTCAAAACTTTAGTAGTAGTTTCCATAATCAAGCGTAGCAGCGATTATATTTTATACATAGACTATACAAAATCCCATTTTAAAACCACAAAGAATATCCGCAACACAAAGATTATGTCGATTTATAATTACCGAGTTCATTATTTCGAAGTAAGTTACGAAAATGGAATATTCTAAAAGCTTTTCCTCTACCAGTGTTAAGTTTTTCCCATCAACTTTCATCCAATCTCAAAATGTTAGTCTTAGTTAAGAAACGCAAGTATCACTTTCATCTTAGATTTTCAATCCCTAAAGTTACTACGAGAAAATAGTTCAGCGGCTGATATCTCCCGGTTATTGTTCTTTCGAGGACAAAAACTCCCTAAATTAATTTGGGAGTTTACTCTTTACGTTGGCTGTGTAATTAAAACTAGAATTGTTACCAAGGAAACGAGTTATGTAAATCTTATTATGCTCTACATTTATGAGAAACTCATTTAAGTTAGCGGGTATGTTAGTTTCTTGGTTTAAGGAAACCATGTAAAAGTAATATTTTGTACACAATGATAAAATAAGTAAACTTAGTCAAAAATGTTTTTGTTTCTTGTTTTTTTTTTGTTCCATTTATTCATTTATTTGCAATCAGAAGTTGGCCGTTTACTTTCCATAATGAAAATATAATGCAGGGCGGGTTGTGGCTAATATAAATTTAGTTTTACAAGCTAACATCTTTGTCTGAATAAAATGGTCACTGTAATCGTTGGCTACAAAATGGATACAATATTCTGATTAATAGAATAATCTTATTTAATTGTTATGAAGTTCAGGGAAATAAGATGTAACTTTGTAAATGTCACAAGTTTTTTATTTTTCTTTAAATATTTATTTTATTAAAATCTCTGTAGATTTTATTCATTAATTATACTAAAAATAGTTGGCGCTCAACTCATCGATCAACTTTTTGTTTGCTAAATAATCTGTCATATTCTAAATTATAATTTTAATTTTAATTTTATATTC